GAGATTGTCTGAAAGAAAGTCAGCTGTTGACCTGCCCCTGGACTCAGAACATGCAGGGTGGGGCTCTGCTTATCCTGCCCCCCCCCACCCCCGCCAGGATTTTAATAGAATGTTTTCTGCAAACCCAGGAATGGGAATTCCCACAGTTTCCTTTCCCAGAGAACCCAAAGGAAACAGAAAGCAAAGTTTCAGGCTTGGTAGACAGAACTATTGTCCAGGGGTCCCTGTGTGTGGACCACTCCTGTTACTGTGCTTGGGTCACACGTGTGACCAGGCTCCCTTACATTGTTGCCAAATGCAGCGGCTTCCTGCTGAGACGGGGCTTCTGTGTCACGTGTGTAGGTGCTTCTTCCTAGAATGAGCTTGTCAAATACTACCAGGCTCAAGGGCACACTGGTCCCTGCTGGGTGGTTTCCCAGAAAAGCCCCAGCCTTCAAGGAGATGACAGCAGCTTGGGGCAGGTTATAGTCGTGAAGGTGTTGAAAGTGGCTCGATTCTGGGTAGATTTTGAAGTCAGAGACACCAGAATTGAGGATTGGATTGGGTTTGGGTTTAGGGTGGATAAAGAGACAACAATGACATCAAGATTTTTGACCTGAGCAACTAGGAAGATGGAGTTGCCATCAATTGCTGGGACAAAGACCACTGAAGGAACAGGTTGGGTGAATGTCATTGTTATGCCCAGAATTCGTGATCCCCAAAGACCACTAGGGAGCCGAGTCCGATGCAAAAGCAAAGAGCCTTTATTCGAGCTAGCTCGAGCTCAATCCCCTACCTGCACCGACGCAGCAGTGAGATACCAGGGAAAGAGAGCGAGTTTCAAAAGGACAAAGGTTTTATTGGGGCCTAGGGGCCGTTGGTGAGGTAACGGCTATGGCCTCAGCCGATTGGCTGGGGAAGGGTCCTGGGGAAGGGTCCGAGTCCTGTTAGGCAGGTGAGGGCGGGTTACTCAAGGGGAGGAGGTGTGGTCAAGGTGAAGGACACAGAACAAGATGGAGTCGGCCGGCGTAGGCCCGCCCTTTCAGTCATAAGTTCCTTTGTGGTGTATGTTAGGTTTGGGGTGTCCATCACGCATGCAAATGGCAGCCGAGTAATCAATTGCAGATACAGGCCTGGAGTTCAATAATATTTGCGTCTGAGGATCAGGCTGGAGTTACCAAGTCAGCAGTCTCCAGCTTTAACAGATGGTATTTGAAGCCATCAGACTGGAGTAGCTCAACAGGGGAATGAGGGCACAGAGAGGAAGAAAGGTCAGATGACCCAGCACCTGCCAGGCTGGAGAAGGAGGAGGAGCTTGTAAGAGAGAAGAATCAGGAGAGATCATTATTAAAGCGAAACAGGGGACTATGCTGAAAATCAGGAGACTGTTGCTGAAAAGGCCACTCCCAATCCTTGGTCTTCCACTTCACACACTGTGTAAACTTGAGCAAACTTCTCTAGGTCTTGGTTTCCTTAACTAGAGAGTATGATCATTTCCACTTTGCAAAGGCTTTTTGGTGATAATTAAGGAGTTAAAGAAGCCCAAAATGGGGTCATTTGTGCCGCTCCACCACAACAGGAACTCAAGACTTATTTAGTTTCAATCTGTCCCAGGACTGTGGCCTTTTAACACCTGAAATTTCCTGATGGGCACTAGTGAGGTCATCTGCATGACAAAAACCCTGCTTTTCCTTCCCTCCCCCCAAAATGTAACAACACTTTTTTTCTTTTGCTGATAATTTATTGTCCCTCCTTCCTATAAAAATCTTCCCTTTTGTTAGTACTCCTTGGAGCATCTCTACTTCCCAAATGGGATGCTGCCCATTCATGAATTGCTTAACAAAGCCAAATCAAGATCTTAAAATTTACCTGAAACTAATATAAGACAGTAAATTACACTGGAATTAAAAAAAAAAATC